CAGAGATCTAAGGGCCTTCAATTTGGCGATGCATGCGAAACAAGCATGGAGATTAAATACAGAGGTTAATTCTCTTCTCCATCAAGTGCTTAAGGCTAGGTATTTCCCCTCGACTTCTTTCATGGAGGCTGAGATTGGATATAGACCATCATACACTTGGAGAAGTATTTTGGGTGCAAGGAAAGTAGTGATAGCAGGCTCAAGATGGCGAATAGGTGACAGAACCAGAGTTAATATTTGGACGGATAGGTGGATTCCTACCCTTGTAAGCTTCAAGATAGTTTCTCCTAAAAGTAGTCTCCTTACTTTGGTTGGGGACCTTATTAATGACCAATCATGGAGCTGGAACGAGCAATTGGTGGATGATGTTTTTCTGCCTTATGAGGTGTTGGTGATTAAAAGTATTCCATTGAGCAGGCATTCATTGGAGGATAGATTGATATGGCATTATAATTCAAATGGTATATTCTCGGTTTGAAGTGCATACCATATCATTATTGATCAAAAGCTATTGCAAGATGGGTCAAACAACTCATCTCCTTCTTCAAGTGCTGGACAATTAAATTGGAACTTTATTTGGAATCAGAAAATCCCAAATAAAATTAAGATCTTTGCCTAGAGGGTTTGTTCCAATGCTCTTCCAACAGGGGATAACCTTCGAAGAAGGAAAGTGATTGTGGACGGGAATTGTGGAGTGTGTCAAGTGGGTGGGGAGTCTTTGGTACATTGTCTAAGGGATTGTCCTTGGGCCAATGCAGTATGGAGAGTCAGTTCAGTTCAGGCAGCAACCCAATTTTGGTATTGGACCCAGGACAGTGGTTGCGTGATGTCCATCAGGTTCTTACTTCTGATGAATTTTCTTTGTTTCTTATTTTGTGTTGGTTTGTGTGGAGAAATAGGAATCTTCGGATTTTTGAAAATATGGCTCAGAATCCTGTTGAAGTGCAGAGGAAGGCTGTTGATTATTATAGGCTGTATAGAGAGTTAGTTGATCAGACTGGTAGTAATCCTTCGCAAATTCTCAACACTGGATGGTGTCCCCCAAGGGCTGGTACACTCAAGGTTAATTTCGATGCTGCTGTTTTTTCTGAACAAAATGTATTAGGAGTGGGAGTTGTCATAAGAGATGACCAGGGTGATTTTGTTGGGGCCTTGTCCAGAAGATCTGTCATGTGGTGTGACATCCATAAAGCAGAAACTATAGTTGCACAAGCTGCGGTCGAATTTGCAAGGCAGCAAAGTTTAGTAGATATTATATTGGAAGGGGATTCCACAGTGGTAATGCAATATATTAGAAATGGAGATGGTGAGTTTGATCCTTTAGAAGCCATTTTACAAGACATTAATAGTATAGCGAGGAGTTTTCGATATTTTGAAGTGTTTGAAGTTCGTCGTAATGGGAATAATATAGCACATGAGTTAGTTCGTTTTGAAGTACCTTTAAATAGTAGCACTGTATGGTTGGAGCAGGCACCCGAATTTATTATGTCTCTCCTTCTTGTTGATATTTCTTAGTAATAAATTTTCATCGTTGTTCCTCAAAAAAAAAAGGGATGAATTTTTAAATTTATTTTTCTTCTCTCGTTGGATGAGTTGTCCAATCTGATCAATCCTAATACCCAATCCAAACACACCCTAATAATTCTATGTCTTAATGTTGGGTCTTTATTCGACATTAGCCCAAAACCTCTGGTCCTTTGGTGTTTACTCATATTGGGCTTCTGGGCTGGTCCTTAGGTGGGCGGACCAAATCTTCCACATCGATAATTATCACTTTCTTGAGATTCTAATGGACAATTCCTCAAATTGTTATTCTAAATCGGCCGATAAGCAATCAAAAGACTAACATTGCTATAAGTGATTTGAAATTAATATCAATAGTAGCTCAAATGATAACAAAGATTAGTTGTAAACTTAATATTTTGAATTCAAATCTTGACAATTTTTTAAAGGCATGAGAGATTCATCCGTCATGAATACCTTAGTTCCGGTGTGAATGATCTGTCTTTGACTAGATCGAGAAGGTAATTAATTGAAGTTCAAATAAACTGATCTGAACACTCCTGAACATTGAACCACAAAAAAATAAGTGATTTGAAATCCAAAGAGCCTTTGAGTTGTATTCTGGCTGTATTAAATGGCACCATTAGCTCTGGCTGTATTAAATGGCACCATTAGCTCACATTGTATGTAAAAGAATAGAGAAGAAATTTTTCATGCACTGTGATGTGCGTATATTCCCGCAAGTGCTGCAAATATTCGTTCCTTTTTCATTAGAAAATCACTCAAAATACATAAATCGATAATTATATTGCAAAGTAATAGAATCAAAATAGAATATGCGAAGAATACCATAAAAAAAAAAAGTTTGGGTCAAAAAACTCAATCGATAGTTATATAGCAAAGTAACAGTACCAAAATAGAATATACGAAGAATACCATTAAAAAAAAATGTCTTGCCCTCGTCTGTTTTTCAAAACTTAGTGCTTTCCATGTATAAAAAACTGAGCAAAAGATTGAACCTCTACATATATATGCACCGGATTGACCCACTAGACCATGCTAAACAAAAAAGTTGACACTAATTAATCTAACAAGTATGACATGATCCGGATTATACATAACTTATATGTGACGTAACATGAATCTAATTATACAAGATTACAAAATTAAGTGAATTTTAACATGACATTAGTGCAAAATAACATTGCTGTCATTGTTTTGGAGTTTTTTAAGAGCCATTTGGCCTTTAGATTCATTGAAGGGACATATTCAATCTCTGTCCTTCTCGATGTTTTCATGTCTATCTTTTTGCAATCTGTAGATTAAATAAGAAAATGCTGGTACTGGCTTATCCAAGGCTTAAAATAATCCTATAGGTTATTTAACTAAATACTATGCTGGATGGGTAATGGGTCCATTTCATAGAAGAGGTCAATGCATCACATGGCAATTTCAACTTTATTGGTACCTAATTTGAAAATTTTCTAATAACAAAAAAAAAAATTATACCAACATCCCATGATTTCTGAGAGTATTATGCAGATAGAGACTGATTGATATTTCAAAAACAATGCAAAACCCCCCCTTGAATTTCGGATATCACACCAAAGACATTTTCTTCCAAGTTGAAGGAAAACTAAATCAAGTTCTAAATTTCATATTGTCTATTTTCATTTAGTTTTTTGTTTATTTTTTAAGTAAAAATAACCAAACTATTTCGTCTTTTTTCAGACAGGCCGGGGTTAAAGTGTCTTTTTTTATTTGGGTTATTACACATACCTCTCAAACTATGACCTTTGTGTTAATTAAGTTATTGAACTTATTTTGTGTCAATTGAACTTTTAAACTCTTTAATTATGTCAATTAAGTGCTTTTGTCTTTTCCTGATAAAGTGTGCCGCTCACGTGACTACATGACACAAAAAAGACAAAAGAGTTTAATTGACACAATTAGAGAGTTCAAGAATTCAATTGACAAAAAAAAGTTCAAGGACTTAAATGACACAAGGATCATAGTTAGAGGACCATATGTGTAGTTTGCTCCAACTATTTGTATCACGTAAATATCATACTTCGTCACTTTCCGTTAGAAAATTTAATGGAGTCAGACAGAAGGGTTCGATTGATATAATTAGAGAGTTCAGGAGCTCAATTAATAAAAAAAAATTAAGAACTTAATTGATACAGAAATCATAGATTGAAGATCTAGTTTACTCAAAATGTTAAAAGGTATGAACAGCAAAGCAAATGTGTTAAGATGCTATGGAATCTTGTACAAGGCAAGTTTCGAGGATAAGAATATTTTGTTATGTTTCCTTTTCCTAGAAGATTAGTTAAACAAATAGAGAATGTACTTGACCAATTGAAATGATAGTTACACATATTTCTATAATATCCTCATGAAATATGTTATAACACAATGACATTATGCCTCATATATGCTAGGAATATTCCTAATATGCCTTACAAAAGCTGTGAACACATGCAAGGTTTCTTATCTTCGGTTGCCATGTCTTAATTACTTTAAAATTGTCCTTTTGGAAGTTGTTTTACATGGGTAATCTTCGTGCAAAACTTCGACGAATTTATGAGTAATACACACATGATTAAATTAAATGGATTATATTATTTTTATTGTAATAATCGAACCTCAATTCATTCACTATCCAAAAGCTGTAGGTGGTATTAGAGCTGGCGGTGCCAAAGTCGCACTTATCTCGTAGTTGTGTGACATGTCGTAAAATTGTCCTTTTGACAGTTGTTTTAGATGAATAATCTTGGCATAAAGTGTCCACAAATCTATGTGTAGTACGCACAAGATTAGATTAGACAGATTATGTTATTTTTGTTGTAACAATCGAAACTCAATTCATCCACCTATCCAAAAGCTCAAGGTGGTATTGGAGCTGACGATATCAAAGTCGGACCTATCTCGTCGTTGTGTGACATGCCGTAAAATTGTCCTTTTAGTAGTTGTTTTAGATGGGTAATCCTCGCACAAAGTGTCCTTGAATCTATGTATAATATGCGCATGATTATATTAAACAGATTACATTATTTTTGTTGTAACAATCGAAACTCAATCCATCCAGTTATCCAAAAAGTCTAGGGGGCATCGAAGCTGATGGTATCAAAGTCGGACCTATCTCGTAGTTGTGTGAGGTGCTCTCGTATGAGAACAAGATATGACGAGTTTCATAACAGATTGGTGAGGTGCTTGATCTATTTACATGTCCCATATTACAAGATTTCAGACAACCCAAAGCTGACAGTGCTATATGCAGTTGGACTTGATCATTACATCACAAGTTTAGGGAAGTTTAGTGCATAGAATGTAAATTTGGGGGCCCATCTATTTCTTTCCCAAATACAGGGGATTTTTTTTTTGTAAATATTCCCAACAATTTGAACAGTCTTTGTCCATCTTTGTAAAAAGAAAATAAAATGTTCAGTTGAAATCAAACGTTTGACTTCTTATTCTGATATATATCCAGCATGGTGGGAAGTTACAAGTGAACTTATTCAACTTTGGTATCTGACTATCACTGTCAAAAGTTGCCAAGATCTCTACATAGTACAACACCAACATAACGTAATTTTAAGGTAGTAAAGAACCCGAAGTACACCTTTATATTGTCTTCTAATTCTATACCAAAAGATTTCAAGCAATTCGTCACAAAATTTCAACACCAAGCTTTTCACATGATGGATGTCAATCTGCAGGCAAGGCTATGGTATGTGTGGAGGAGGAGGTAGCTGGGGAATTAGAACGAGCTTTGCCCTCGCTATTGCTGCCTCTTCCATGAGGCTCCAGTTGGTTTTGTTGTTGCCTTTGCTTTAGAGATGTCGAGGCATCTTGGTGGGGTGATGGCAGTGCAGCTATTGGTGCATAGATGCCATGGGAAGCGGCAACCTGGGGTGCTTCTTCTGATGCTGTTTTTGCCGTCATTGCAGCATATTCTGGTGGCACCCATATTCCTCCTACCACTATAAACTGGGGTGCTTGCGAATTGTTGTAATTGTGCATTGATGAACTTGGTCTTCTCATATGCAAACGATATTTCTGTAATGAATGAAAGGAAATTAGAGACCCTGCTTGATCTCGGGACAATGTCCAAGAAGAAAATTTCCATCAAAAGAGTGTTACTTATGTTTGGGGGATAGAAAAAAATTAGTTTCACAATTGATCATATTCAATATAAAATCACAGAAAACCTTGTCATTAGTACATGTTAAGTAACAAGGTATATGCAGCTAGGCTAAAGCTACATGATCACCTAAATTCTAAAGACAAAAGGTTTGCTGATTCCTATGTTCCTCTTTGTGGCCTTTCAACTATGTCTTACCTTCAAGTGAATCTTTTTTTCCAAGAAATATATGCTTACATTAAGAAAGAATCTACCAGATGATCCAGATTTGGCTATAGAATATATATTACTGCACCAGTGAAAGAGAGTGATTGGTGGTTATTTAGGGTAATATGAGAGAGAGAGAGAGAGAGAGATTGAAATCAACACCAAATGAGATAGTAAAAAAATGATGTAAAAGACTATGGTTTAACAAAAATATAGCAAGACACAATTCATTTAGCCAACCCCAAATAGGACAGAAAAAACTTTGTCGAGTTGATTGAGAGTTTTAACAAATTATAAGATCCATTAGAATACTGAGACTAAAGAAATACTTATTCATACAAGGAAATTCTCCTTCTATCAAGCAAACAACAGCCACCGTTTTCAATATTGGACCTTAGATGTACACCTATATTTAGATGAACAATTTTGCTACATGCAATGAAATTCTGCCTTATAGATGCATAAGCGATATTGAGGACAATGAACAAAAAGGTTAATACTATTTAGACTTAGGACTTAATTTACTGACCTAATGAATTACTGCTATTAGATTGATAAAGGATCCAAAAGAATACTGGGACTTACTGTCAATCTGATTGTTATAAGTGATTAGGTCCAACTAGCATTGCTCTGAACACAAATACATACTACCAAGTATATATACCAACCTGTAAATGGCTTTTAACTTCATCATTAGAGAGCTCATCAACCTTCATTAACTCCCTAATTTGCTTAGGAGTAGCAACTGCATAATTTCAATCAAAACATAACATCAATACAAATTCTGAATGCAAATACAAATCAAATTTAAAGTACAATAAGAAGTTCCATAGGATACAAACCATGAGCACCACCAAGCTGTTGAAGGGCTTGCAAGAATCTCCTATGCAACTCCGGTGACCAACACCTCCTCGCCTTCTTCTCCGACTTTCCTTCCTTCTCTTCTCTCTTACTTCCATCCCTCCCACCACCACTGCCACCTGTATCTGCCGTTGAACTAGCTGCAGCAATCGGTGCCATGGAAGAGGGTGACCCATCCATTGATGGTGGTGCAGTACCTTTTCTTTTCACTGATAACTTTTTTGTTGACTTCTGCACCAACAAAAAATTACAATCTTCAATGAAATTAGCCAACCAGAAGTAGAACTAGTTAAACTAACTACACGTCGATCACAATAAAATCTTGTTTCAATTACTTAAATTTCGTTTCAGTACATTTTGGTCAACTCTAAAATGAAAACGTTTCAGAAATGTTAACAGAAACACAAAAAAAATTACAAATTTGATTTTGGAGCATTGAGCAAAACATTCTAAAGCATTCAGACACATTAGAATTTCGATATTTAATCACTGTTTGATTATAAAACCGCAACCATTCGGTTGTGGTAATGAGACGATTTTTTTTTGGTCAACGGGTGTCTGGCCCCTCCCGGTCCGATCTAAGGAGATCATCCAAGCTAAGACTAAAATATTCACTCATGACTTGGCTCAACGGATTGTTAAGATTCGACGTAAGAACTTCTTGATTTACATCTTATCACTTGAATTACCTCCGTTTTTAGGAAATTTTGATCTTATACTTGAGTCATCTATATCAGGAAAAATACTCTTATTAGACAAATTATATGAGATTAGATAGTGAAGTACCTCTTTGGTGGGTGGATCTGGGGGATGATTCCAGAGCTGAACAGATTTGAGCCAGTCTGATTTTTTCGATGACTTGTCATTGTTCTTGTTGTTCTTCTTGTCGCTGCCATTGTTTTTAGATTTCTTAGCTTTTTGCTCATCTTCATCAGAAGATAAAATCCTTTTAATAGGAATGAATTCCTCAAGAACATGCTCTTCACTTGATGTCTGCTCAGAATATTCACATTGGCCATGAAAATAATCAACGGTCGTCCCAGACAACTGTTGCCTACATGCTTCAATCGCTGCAAATCCCAAAACCCATAATCAAAAACCCATAAAGAATCAAATGAATGAACTTAATTAATCTGTAGAAAGAACTGCAAAATATTCAAATGGGTAGTTTTGTTTGAGAGAGAGAGAGAGAGAATGGGTATGCTTACTTTGAGTTACAAGCTCAAGACAAAGAGGAAGCTCACGTTGGAACACCTGAATCTTATGTTTTTCTTCTTCTAACGCTTGAATTCGTTCTTGATATCTCTGCATTTTCTCTGTATAATCACTGTGATTATTGTTGTTGATCAACATGGTGGTTGTATCTTTAAACTTTATCCTAGTAATTGAATTGACAGACAACTTTTTCAACGGAGGGACCAGGAGATTAAATAGAGAAGGTTTTGTCTCAACATCGAGAGATCCGGATTGGAGATAGAATAAAGGGATCTGAGTAGAATCACAAACTGGAATAAACTTGTTAGACAAGAAAATATAAAGCATATGCAGAGAGAGCGAGAGACTGAAATTTTGTTTTCTTCTGGCTTAGGAGAAATCGGAAGTTTTTTTTGGGTTGTCGAAGTCGGGCCGTCGCATACAAAACGAATCTTTGCTGAGTTTTATAGAGAGAGAAAGTAAAGTATGTGCTTTTTAGAGAGAGAGAGAGGTTTTGTTGAATATTCGAGGTGTGTTCTTCTATGCTGAGATGACAATGACGTCACGTGTTACGTGCAAGATAAGATGAAAGACCCCCTTGTCTCTCTCTTTGTTTTCTGCCCCTATTGCAAAACACCTTTGTTGTTTATTAATTGATACTAAAAAAAAAAAGGCGTAAAAATGATAAAATAGACTAAAATTCGAGGCAATAACACAATAATGTATTATAGTGAAATATAATAT